GCAGATCCCTTTGATAGTATTTTCACTTCTGAATTCAAAGATGATAGATATAGATAAGATAGATATCTAGATAGATGATAGATAGATAGATAGATAGATAGATAGATAGATAGATAGATAGATAGATAGATAGATAGATAGATAGATAGATAGATAGATAGATAGATAGATAGATAGATAGATAGATAGATAGATAGATAGATAGATAGATAGATAGATAGATAGATAGATAGATAGATAGATAGATAGATAGATAGATAGATAGATAGATAGGATATAGATATAGATATAGATATAGATATAGATATAGATATAGATATAGATATAGATATAGATAGATAATAGGCTGGCCAGGTTTGTTATCTGAAGAAAGTAAGGAGTTGCTCCTCTCTGGATGCACCCTCAGGAAATTTGCATTCTGAAACTGTCCTTCCACTTGGCATTCCAGGAGTTATTTTATACTACTCAGAACAATGTGCTTTAGATGAGGAACAGTGAGAGCCATGACTTGCTTTCTTTCTCCATCTGCACTCTATCCATAGAAACAGATGTGATATGGATATGGATACAGATATAGAGATACACACATTCATGCCTCCCTCATATTAACCATTCCCTAAATATGAGCTATCTTCTGGATTTCACATTATTTCCTTACCTTTTTAAAAAATGCTTTTCTTTATTCATGATAGAACATGTACATGTGCATGTGAGGAAGACAACAAGAGACAAGAGCACACTCCATAAGGTCACAGAATGATCCCCTTCCTCCAGTCCTCCAGCCCGTCACATTGTGGTCACTCATGCACAAGACCAGCAAGTTTCAGGCCAACCAGGCCAGGGATTCGAGCCATGGCTGCCATGTGGAATCCAGCTTCTCTTGGGCAGTGCATGACAATTGTACCATGGAATTGGCCCTATTATTGTATCTTAATAGCTTTGCATCTAGCAAGAAATTTTAATCTTCTTTTCTCTCCTCCTCTCAATTCATTTCTCATCCCAGTGTCATCTGAATTAAACTCTCAACTCCCAAAGCAAATGACTATGACCAGTGACCACCCAATTCCCATATGTATGTACTCATTTAAATTTTTAAAAGTAATTGTCCTGTTAGGGGCAGATGGTACTGGTCATTCATCTCCTCTCTGGGCTTTCTGGCTATCCTGCTCTCCTGGTTATCCCATCACTCCTCAGCCTTCCCTGGGACTTTGCTCTTTTTACTCCACCCCTGCTTCCTTCATCTACCCTCAAGACTTCAACTGCCTCCCTCATGACGGTGACTTCTGTATATATACCTCCAGTCCAGAATTTTCTCCTGACATCCAGATTCATATATTCAAATGACTGGGCATCTCAACCTGGATGAAACCAAATCCATCTTTTCTCCCAATCATGTTCTTTCCCTGTTTGGTCAAAGTTCTATCACATTCATAGTTGTCAAACTTAAAAAAGACAAAGAAAACAAACAACAAAAACCCTGGGCCAAGCCAGCCCCATAGTCTAGTGGTTAAGGGAGCAGGATCCCACGTGGCCAACTGGTGTTCAAATCCTGGCCCTGCTGGCTTGAAAAACATACCAGATGCATATATGTGCATGCCCAAAATCTCAACAAGATAGAGAAATGGAGAAAGGCATGACTACACCCATGAAGGGTGCTTTCTCCCTCTCTCTCTGTCTCTTTCTGGGGCACGCATGCCATCTGGCAATAAAAACAAAGTAAAACACAAATTGAAAACCTCACTTGACCTCTTCCCCCAGCCAACATCCCGTCATTCACCAACTTCTTGTTCTGTTTCTCAGTTATTTTTTACATTGACTTGTCTCTCCATTCACACAGTCACGGTGTTAGATCACATTCTAATTATTGTCATCTGAACTATCCTAACAGCCTAATTAGTTCCCCACTCATATATATATATTTTTTTTTTTTGGAGAGATTTTCACTGTAGGGCGCGTGCGCTCGCCAGACAGACAGAGAGAGACATAGAGACAGAAAGCGAGAAATCACCCCCCAGGGGGGATGGTCACGCCGCAATCCCTTCTCCTCCATTCTCCTCTCGGGATCTTGGGCACGCACGCACACGCGCCCGGCGTGAGTTTTAAGCCACCGGGTCCGGGACACGAACCGCGGTTGACTACGTGGGAGTCCAGCGACATAGCCATTACGCTAACTGCTGGTTCCCCCCACTCATATATTTTCTAATTAGCCACACTGCTCATGTCACCTCCCTGCTTAAGACCCTTCAAATGTTCATGTGACCTAAACAATAAACGCACACGGGAGGGCGCAGTTCTTGCTGAGATGTGAACAAGCAGAGATGTCTTCTTCATGAGCCCATCTTCCCTTCAAGATAAGAAAGAAGGGGGCTGGGGTTTCTTCTCGAGAAACCGCCGAAGACACTGCGTTGGTGGAGGTGGGGTGCGTGCAGATGGCAGATGAAATTTAAGAGAAAAGAAAGAGGTGTTTACAGAGCCTTGGATCAGGTCCACGCCTTGGGGCCAAGGGCAAGAAGAGAGGGAGCCTGGCTTGGGTTTAAAGTGTGAGTGCCATTCAGTTTTGGTCTCTAGCATGAAAGACCAGCCAGATATTCAGGATGGAAAGCCTGAGGAAGAACAATGAATATGAACATCCTAGAATATTTCCTACATCCAGTAGTAGATAAATACGCAGATTTGGAGTTAAAGTCTGTAAGAAGATAGCATACAATTTACTCACAATGAACACACTGAGTAGAACTATGTCAGGATATTGCATCACCAATGATAATTCTAAATTCTATACTGAAATTTATATTTTTAATGACAGCTGAGAATTATTATCTACAACATGCTTTTCTAGGAAAGTGAAAGGCCTTTTGCAAACCTTCACCTATCACCTCCCACTACCCAGCGTGGTTTTGAATCCTCTGGTAGACAAATCCAGATTGTTAATGTGATAACACTGTTTTTATTTTGTTCTATACCACTGCTTTTAGATCATTCATTTTATTAATTTATTCAAATTTTGAAAGCCATATTATTGACACAAATTCATATTTAACTAAAACTTCTATTTATATACTCATTATTGTTATATTATTCTCTTAGAATCTTTTGTTTTGGTGGAAAATATTCTAAAGTAATTTTCTTTTCCCGGGAAAAAGTTTATGGGAGATAAGCTTCCTGAGCCCTGATACAATATTTCAAGAAAAATGTCTATATTCTGTCCTTACTTTATAATTACATTTGAATGCTAGTTTTACAGGATAAAGAATTCTAATATAAAATTTTTCTTTTAAAAACCAGAAAGATTTTTGTCCCATTTTCTGCTAGAACCTATTGCGAATGATGTGAAGTCTAATACTAGTTAATTCTTTTCCTTGTGTAACTTTTTCCTTTCCTTTAATTTCTGAAAGTGCCAACATTGGCTTTGTGTGTAGGGATAGGTGTTGGGCCTGCAAGTGGCATGGTGGTTAAGGCACTGGACTCTCACATGTCTGACAGCAGGATTCAAGTCCCGAACCTGGCGGCTTGCTTCATCACTTTCGCGAGCTCGCTCACTTGCTTCCTCTCTCTCTCTCTCTGCCTGGTGAGTGCATGTGCCTTGTAGCTAATTTTAAAAATAATAATAATAATAACATTAAAAATAAATAATTTCAAAAAAAGGCATTGATGTTTTTGTTTGTTTCCCTGCTTGGCTCTAAGTGAATCTTTTCAGTCTGAAGATTAGAGACCTTTCTTCAGCAATTTGGCTTACAGAAATTCCTCTTTCTCTCTCCAATTTTTTCTTTTCCTTTATTTTTTGAGATATTTTTCCAGTAGGGTGCATGTGCTTGCTGAAGAGATAGAGAGACAGTGAGAAATCACCCCCGGGGGAGATGACCAACCAAATTCCCTTCTCCATTTCCCTTGGGATTTGGGGCATGCACGCACATGGACCTGGCATGAGTTTCAAGCCACAGGGTCTAGGACTCGAACCACTGTCAGCCATGTGGGAGTCCTGTACCTTAACCACTATGCCACTTGCTGGCCCCTCTCCCTCCAATTCAAAACAAAAAATTATCAGTATTTCTTTCCTTTAATTACTCTCCTCCTTTTTGTGTATTTCCATGTCCTTTTTTCTTTTCACTTTACATTCTTAGTTATTTATAAGACTATCTTCCAGATAATTATTTAGCCATACCTATCCTAATAGTATCCCTTTGATTACATTTATTGCTTTGGCAAACAATGTTTAATTAATTAAGGAAACTTTTTTTTAAAAATTTCACTTAATTTTATTTATTATGATTATTTAATTTGATGAGCAAAGGAGAGAGAAAGAGACAGAGCAAGCCATCAGGTCCGAGACTTGAACTGTGGTCTGCCGTGTGGGAGTCCAGCAACATAACTACCTCTTGCCAGCCCCAGGAAACCTTTCTTAACCCATAAATATTTTGTATTTAGAACAGCCTATCTGGACATGGTATTCTCCCTTGGGTTTCTATGAAAATACTTAGTTTTAAAATTAATGTTACATTCTGTTCCTTACATTATTTCTTCTTCCTCCAAAGTTAGTTCTATTTTTAACCTCGGTTTGTCTCTCTACTACCGTTAGTAGTCCTTAAATACAGGATGATTCTTGACTATTCATATTTACGAACGAAGGGCTGTCTGGGATGACTAGTTCAAGTAACTGAGGAGGATTATTATTTAAGGATGCAGATTGCTCTGTCCCCAGGAGACTTCTTTCTTAACACTCTAAATGATCTTACTTAAATTTTACATTTAAAAAGTTTATTTTCTGTATTTGAATGATATTATATATCCACTTCTGCAACTTGTTTTTATTGGGTTGTTGGGAAAATCATGATGTATTTTTGCATAGGAAAACAAAAAAAATACATGGTGACTTTCCTGACAACCCAATATTTGGTGTTTGTGAGATTTATCAATATTGATGAATACATTGCTGAAATGCATTCATTTTCACTGCTCGTATTTGAGATGCTAGAATCAGCTGCTTTTCAGTCTATTCTTACCTTAGCATTTTCAATGCACGGACAGAGGGCCCATGCTGCACTGGCCTTCACATCTGGGTGAGGGTTTTTCAGCAGGGACCACAACAGACGCACTCCATCTAAACGATCAATTATCCTGTGGTAGAACCCAAAATAGTGGTATACACTGTAATTAGTAAGTGAAAATGAAAATGTAAACAGCCCACCTATTTACACAATGTTACACGATGCTAATGACTGTTTCTCCTCTTAACATTTTAGTTGGATTTTTTTTTTTCAGACTTCAAAAACTAGGAGGATATACCACGTGCTGTTGAATTGTCAGGGCTCTGATTTCAGGTTTAAATTTATGACACAGAAAGCCAGCCACATGATAATTAGGATTCACATAAACTTAAAATCAAGCCACAGCATTTTTTAATTAGCTGTATACAGACTGTTACCTAAATGTAAAAATACTGGTTTCTTTCACATAGTCACATCTAAATACTTCCCAAAACAAATATTTATGCCTTAAAACTGTGCAGTTACCTTTTTTATTTGGTCTATGTTTAATTGACTGACCTTACTGTATGACATATTTTAAACTCTTTCAGTCGTAATCTAGCATTAGGAATCAAAATCATTACGCCACAGTGCATCCTTTGTTGGGCATGAAGAAAACCTAACTTGTTTTCCATGTGTTCTCCTCCCAGCAAGACTTGCATTGCAGACTATGTTATAATTACTTAAACACACTGTAATCAAAATATCTTCATGACTAGCTGAAAAATGAATTATCATCAGAGTCATCTCTATACCATCTGTCTTCTGTTTATATATCAATCAGCCCAGGGAGCATAACCTTACACGGCAAAGTCCACCGAGCACTTGCAGTGGAGAAGGCCAAACAAAACCCAATACCCTTTACAAACATGGCTCTGCTCAGATACATTAAACTCGAAGCAGATGATATAAGATAAAGAACATCAAAATTCCTTTGATTTTTTTTTTTAGCCTCAAGTGGAATTAAGCGCATGTAGTACTTAGGTAGAATAAATACAAGATAGAATAAATACAAGCTTAACGTGCCATTCAAACTCTTCCATGAACATTTACATAAAAACATCTTCATTTCTTGATGATCTGAGATGAGTTTGCCAGGAAATAAATGTATTGTTCCAAAGGTTCCAAGTAGGATGTCAGTTTTACAAAACCATATATGCTGGGGATGCCACTGGCCTACAGAAAGATAAAAATGTTTCTTTAAAAATAATGGTTTCTGGGGCCAGCAGGTGGCATGGTGATAAAGGCACTGGACTCCCACACAGTGGACTACAGTTCGAGTGCCAGATCTGGTGGCTTGAAACTCAGGTCGGGCGCATGCTCATGCAGGCCCCAAATCCTGAGAGGAGAATGGAGGAAAAGGGATTGCCATCCTCCCAGAGAGGTGATTTCTCTTTTCCTGTCTCTCCAGCAAGCACACACATACTATAGCAAAAATCTCTCAGAAACAAACAAATAAATAAATAAAAATAATGACCTCTAATAAGGAGAAAATACATTGAAAAAATAGTTTTAAGCAATGTTCAACTAAATGACTTTTCGGCTGAAAGCTTTCTGTCAATAGCATGCTGAGAGAAAAAGTTTTACTTTCAATTTATGGGAACTGTCAAGAAACATACTAGGCACTTCACAATGAGGGTTTTACTTTTTAAATTAAAATGTAAAATGTTTACTAAGCCTTACCTACGCTACATAGCATATTTTTTTATACTACTGAAACATAATTAATGCTGAGCCCTACGTCACTCTATTTTTTTATTAAAAAATTTCAAAACAAACAATAGTGAAAAATAGTTTGTCCTGCCTTCTTGCAAATTCAGCAACAAATTGAGCATGGGTAATATGAGAGGACCTCTAAACATTTGTGGAAAAATGAAATGAAAGCTGAGTTTATTTTGATGCAAAAAAAATGTTGAAATCCATGCACGGTGTTTTCATAATATGCATTTTTCATGTGCTTTTTGAAGACCTTGTCATATTTTAAATGTATACTGTCAGACATGACTTGTCATTACAGTGGAAGTCATCCAGGGGGCATACATTTATTTCCATTTTAAAAAGAAAAATGGGTAGTTCAATCCTGGACACACACCGCCAAACTTTCACAATTAACTATAGAAATTCTCCATGAGTTATAAAGTAGATCGGCTGTCCACTACTCTCCCACCAAGTCCAAGGCAGTTAAATTATTGCCTACGTATTCTAGATGAGGACTGTAGCCCCATTACTGGTGTCTTTTTTTTTTTTTTTTTTTGGGGGGGGTTTTTCCCCATAGGGTGCATGGGTCGTA